CCCCCCCCCCCCCCGCTCCCCAAAGCACTGCTCTTGAGGTGGCAGTAGCCATAGGGATTCTGGAGATCACAACATCATCTTTTCAATCCCACTGTAGACTCCTGGGATTAAATAGGTGTTAGGACATTGTTCAGTCTGCAGCATATTTGGAACTACTGGTTCATGAGTTGCAAAGAGCCGACACTGGCTGTCTGTTAGAGTCCAGGGTGAATTCCACAAGGTTGTCAGTTTAGGAAAAATGTTTACTTGTTAACTTAAGTGCCAATGATGGTACAAATTGGGAAAATGGCATGCATGGCTCCACATTGGTTATATATCAGCACAGAAACATACTTGAATGAGAAGTGTGTGTTATTTAGAAATGCTTTGTGGAAATGTTTTATTGACCTGGAAAAATCATCATGATTTAAGGGTAAGGAAATCTGTCGAAATGGTCTATTCTAACTCAGTGTTGAAGCTAAGGCAACAATTAATGTTAAAGTATGTTTTAGAAGGGAAAGAGCAATCCCAATGAGATGTTTCTGATCTAAAAAAAGCTGAGAAGGAAAGCAAAAGACTGGGGCCAGGGAGTGGGGGGAATTGGCTGTTTACATAGTTAAAGACAATAAGTTTAGGATTATTAGGTGGAGATGGTAAAATTACCAGTGTTGCAGAAATGCGTAAGTAACGCTTATGTTCTGTATTTGGAACAAAGCATGATAGTGAATAAATACCCAGTCTGTTGATAAGTGGGAATGTTAAGCTAGAAAGAAACCTTTCAAAATAAACTATTCCATAAAACTTTTATGCAGAAATCCTCAAGAAAGTTGATGGAGGGTATGTCTATATGTTCCTTAATGCATTTTTCCTAATGTGCATTAAATTCAGTACCTTTTTTAATGTGAGTTACTAAATAAATACTTGTTGGGTTGCCCTACTGCACAGTAGTACAAGCACATGCTTTTGTGGTGACTTAATGTACAATAGCCTATTTTTACTGCACATGAATGTATTAGCATGGTTTTTGACATGATGCTTTAATTTGCAGTAAGATAGGCTACTGCGCTTTAAAGTGCATGTGAAGATGCATTCTGGTGATAGTTTTTAATTTTGAGACTACTGTCTAAACGCCAGACTAGAGAACCTTTTTTTAGGAAGAGTAGGGTGTTCCAGGTATCTCTAGACTGACTAGCCTGTCATCAGAATCAGGCAAAGAAATAGAAAAGTCGTTCTGGGGCTTACTGAATAAGTAGTAACACTATGATTCTTACAGTCTTCAAGAAAGGAGATAAGTCCCACTGTGGAGATCACAGAGGGATTGCCTTGCTGTCCACGACAGGCAAGATAATTGCAAAGCCCCTCCTGAACAGTCTCCTTCCACTTGCTGAAGAGCTCTTCCCACAGTCTCAGTGTGGGCATCAAGAGGCACAACTGACATGATCTTCATAGCTTGCCAGCTACAAGAAAAATGCTGGGAACAATATAAACTACTCTACATGGCCTTCTATGACCTTACAAAAAAGCCTTTGATTCTGTCAACAAAGTAGTGGTGTGGAGGATCCTTCTGAAATATGGTCACTTACTGAAATTGGTCACCATCCTTTGCCTGCTCTGTGATGGTATGCAAGCAGTTATTTTCAGTAATGGATCTGTTGCAGTTTCCTTTGAGGTTAAGATGGGAATTTAAATAAGGCTGTATCATTGCTCCAACACTCTTCTCTATTCTTTACTGTGATGCTACATCTGACCACCAACCAGTATCCAGTTGGACTGGAGCTAAACTACTGAATGGATGGTAAGATGTTTAACCTCAGCTGACTGTGAGCCAAAACCAAGACCACCCTGACCTCAGTCATCCAGTTCTAGTATGCTGATGATGCTGTAGTATGTGCTCACTCAGAAGTAGACCTTCAGGCAATCGTCAACATCTTTACCTAGGCATACAAGAAAATGGGACTGAGGCTTAATGTTCAGAAGACTAAGGTCCTTCATCAGCAAGCTCTTAATGAGCAGTCCCGAGCTCTGGTAATTCAGATTTACCGTAAGGTTCTGGAGAACATTGAGTATTTCCTGTACCTCACAAGCCATCTCTCTCAAAGTTGATATTGATGAAGAAATCCAACAGGGCCTCAAATGTGCAAGTGTAGCCTTTGAATGCCTGAGTAAATGGCTGTTTGAGGATTGCAGTATCAGATTTGTAACTTATCTTATGGTTTAGATACAATTGTGCTACTATTGTATCTAAAGCATTTTGGCTTCAGCCTTGTTGCAGAGACAGATGTCTTCCCTCCATGCATTATTAGTCTGATCAGATGGAAAACGTAAGATCTGGCCTCTCTAGTTGAGTCTCTGGCAATGGACTGGTAGATTCTGAATGTCATATATTTGACTCTTGTCTGTAACACTGTTCAGAAATAAGCTCCACAATGGAAGCTTTTGTTGTTGCTTTTTTAGCAAATGGAACTTTTACTTACGAGCTGATCATGAAATGTCGTCTTCCTAAAGATAGCCTGACAAAGTGCCTGTAAGATAGCTGTGGGTGACCTTATTTGGGGCATTCTTGCCACCAAAAGCCAGATATCAAAACTAGCTCACTGCTGATCTGTTTATTGGAAGCATTGAGTAATATGCTTTCAAACTCAAACCACTGGTGTGCTACTCCGATCACATAATGCATCAGTAAATGCAACTAGGGCAGAGAGCTGAAAAGCAGCAGTAAGGCCTGTTCTCAGGACAATTCAAGCTACTTCATTGCCTCCTTTCTAGAGTTTAGTGCCTATGGAGCAGGACTCGGTGGGTGGGTTTGGCTTCTTGGAGTTCTCCCAGTTCTGGTCATAATGGCAGTGTAGACAGATATGCCCTCCTGCAAGCATTCAAAGGGTAAACAGGCAGTGGAGAAGTCTGAAGTCCTCAGCATTCTCACATTATTCAAATAAGTAGAAGTGGAAATTAAAGTGACAAGTGTGCACATGCGTCTTGGACAGAGATCTGAGAACCTTAGCTTTTCCATTCCCAGACTGTGACATTAATGGTTGTCTATACTTAATACTTCCCCAGGCTGCACTCTTAAGTAGCTGTGGTGTCTTGTGGCCCAGAGATGGGAATCCCAAATGACAGCTGTCAGCGGGAGGCATTAGCCTCTTGCTTTCCAACAATAACTATTAAGCTTCTCAGGCTTGACAAGCCTCCAGAGAAAGCATCCAAAAAGCAACCTCTTGCTCATGAAGTTTTGTTGATTGCCAGATTTGTTTCTACCCTGGTTTTTCTGCTCTGCTTGCTCATCTCTTACGCAAGAAAATTTTATTCTCCACCCATCAGAGCATTCACTTGTTACACAATCCACGTTACTGTAGGGTTTTTACCGTGGGAATCTGTACGCCACACAAGGAAGCCAAATCAGCCTATTAAAAGCATAGCGAACATGCAACTTGATTTGTCAGTTGGATTGCACGTACCTTGCTAGTTTCTATGAATGAGCCACTGATGATTGTTTGTCTGCCAAATTACATGCTTGTTCTTTTCTAAAAATACCTGTCCTTAGCTCTTCTCTTTTCATCACTTACCCACTCCCCCCAAATATGTAGAAGTTATATACAAATGGACCTTAGAGAGACCTTTCCTTTTTAGGAAAGGGAATCCCTTTCCCTGGCAGGTGAGACCAGATTCTACCAACAAATAGAAATAAGTAGTGCTATCAAGTTGGTCTGTGTACTTGTGCAAAGCAGCTGCATTTCTGTTCAAAAGGTAACGCATCATGTCAACATTCGATTCAAGAGCTCTGCCTATTTCACTAAGTGCAAAGTTTCATTCGGTTACTTATAAGATTGTAATTTGGTTTGTTTTGCAGCAGATGGTTTCTTGCAAATGCCATGTGTGCGTGCACGTGCAGTATACCTAAGTCTCTTTGGCTGAAGAAGGAAGACAAATGAGACAAATTCCTATGAGCGATGAAAGGAATGTGTGCAAACTCTTTGTCAGTTGTTAGACCCAAATAGCCATTCAGGGGGAAAAGAAACTTTCAGCAGCTTCTAAACATAGGTAGAGATGCATATGGTTCTGGATGCAAAGCAGGAATTACCTATATAATGTTGGATTTCCATATGCAAATACATGTCATGCAGAGACGATTATTGGTATGTGTTTTGCATCCCCTGTTTAAGGGGTTCAATTGGAAACCTTGGCCTGTAGTACCTTGATCCTTGGTTGGCCTGAGAGTGTTTAGAACATTTGCATGAAGGTGGAAAAAAATGCCATTACTGTCAGTCTGAGTCCATTGCTTTGTACAAAAAAAGTAAACAGCTTTGTCTTGAAAAAGGTGGTCTTTGCCTGCAACAGAAAAAATTGAGCTATTATAAAAGAGGCTACTGATAACCTGGCATCTGAACTAGTAAGAATAGTTCTACTGTAAGTACAGATACGGGGCCCAACCATGAGAAGCACTGTTAAAGCAAAGTGTTTTTGAAACCAAAACCTATCCGGATCAGAGTTTAGAAAGGCCATTGTTAAGAAAGTAACTTTGAAGCCCTGATCAGAATGTTCCTTAAAAGCATATTCTCTTTATTCACAGCCATTTGAGTTCTTATCTTGTTTTAAATTCCTGTCT